TGTATTTCTGGCCTGCGGGCCTCCCGGTTGTTTACCTGACGTCACTGTGGGCGAGCAGGCAGCGCTGGACGAACATTTGATAAATGGACTTCACTCGGAGGCCCCGCTGTTATGATTGTCTGTGTGTGTGTGAGAGTGTATGATTGTCTGTGCATGTCTCTCTTTCTGTTTGTAAGTGTCTGATGAGTATGTCTGTGTCTACCTCTCCTTTGTGGTGTTTGTGGGTGTGCCTGTGTGTGTGTGTCTCTATGTGTTTGTAAGTGTCTCCGAGTGTGCGTCTCTCCCTGAGAATGTGTGTCTCTGTGAGTGTGTGTCCCTCTCTGTGTCTGTATGTGTCTCTCTCTCTGGGTCTGTGTGCGGTACTGGGCCCTGAGAGCTCCTGTAGCCTTGTTAGTATCTCCTTTCGCACCACCCCCCAAAAAAAAAGACACACCGTTGTTTTTAAAGAAGCAATTTTTTTTGCAACAATAATATTATAATTATTATAATAATTTGTTATTTGTTTTTTTGGCTTTTATGTTTAGTTTTCATGAATATACCACTCATTTTGTGCCAGATCTTTGCACGTTTCATGAATTCTGCTTTAAATTGTACACCTCACTGAAAATATATAGGGTTAGTTTTAAGCTTTTGTTTATTGAGGGATAATATTGGCTTGTAAGGTTGACAATATCTGCACCTGCAAATGCAAAGGTAGTACCTCGCTATTGTCAGTTTCTGTATGATTTTTGTAGTTCAGAATGTTGAATGTGTTGAAAAAAGTTTAACGATGGAATTTATCTTCTGTGATTTGTAGAAAATTGGAAAACCATTGGTTTTACTGACTGATTAAAATTAGAAACTAGCAAACTTAAGTATATCCATTTTCTTTCACACTGATATCGATCAATTAAAATGAGAATAGTGCATGAGTCAGTAAATTGGCAAGCCTCGTAATGGTGCCAAACACATATCAACCATTTTTTCTTGAAGTTCATTTATTGCTGCTTTTTTTTCTCCCTCCTCTATTTGTCTTAATTAATTTGTTTATATTTATTTACAATATAGGATATCAGTGATGGAGAAGAAATGCTTTTCCCCTTTCAGTGTCCAACTCCACTATAAAAGAGCTTTTAAATTGTGTATTGCATTAAATGCATATGAAATTAACTTATTGTTGTGGTAAGTGTTTCATACCTAACTTAGAGCAATACCCCTAAAAATGTGAAAGGGATTCTGAGTATAATTTTCTAATTAAAGTAGTTGATCTCACTGGTAAGTGAAACCAACATATTTATATTGTAGAATATGCTTGTTGTTTGGTTATAAGAGTTTGGTTATATGCCTTGGGATGGAGGGTAGATTGAAACTAAATTAAGCTAAAATCTTCTGAATGGTTGGCAAACTACCAAAACGTAATGTCCTTTTCATAATTTGCAGTTATTGCTGTATGCAGTTAATGCTACGTTAATTGGAATATAATGCAATATTGAATTTACTTTTGTTGGTGGCCTCAGCATATTGTAAAGTACATGTGTGTACCTGGCACTGAAGTATTTTATCACCCTGTATCCCGTATTAGGTTCAATGGTGGCAATGCTACCATCGCTTATCAGTTAAATTTGTACCATTAAAAACAATTAGCAAGCATTTGAATGCAGTTACTACAACAAATTGCATCGTCAAGTCTGTATGTAATAAAAGCATGGATGAGGTACTTGGAGGCGTGAGAGGAGACCAGAGGCAGTGGCAGCGGCGGGCAATATTGCCGAGTTGGTGGAAGGCAGAACATGGCACAGATGTACATGATATCAAAAACATATTGTGAAACCTGTATCATGGATGATATTGTCACACGCAGTATGTGTGATGATGCCACTTAATTGCAGATTCCAGTGTGAAGCATCACCAAGTGCCCAAAGGGTAACTAGAAAAAACCCAAAGCTAAATGCATTGGTGACTTGGAAAGCAGCAAATGATTTTTATCACTTCTCCCATTCTTTTCCAACCTCCAGAAAAAATAAGGCATAGTTGTTAACATTAACTCCTGGGTCTTCAGTGTGCCACTCAATTGTACTTGATACAGCAATTTAATTGCTACATATTAATTTGTTTTTCTGGCTGTTGGACAGATTGAGTAGTTGGTCCTCATAAAAGTTAAGGATCGCAGAGAATTCACAGGCAGAAAAGTTCAAATTGTGACCTGGAAGCGATTCTATATGAGTGAGTTGTTTGTGTTTCAGTCATTTTAGTGCTTTGTATTTTGCACTGTGGAGTAAACTTGATTTTTAGCTGCCCCACGGTTCTCGGGCTCATTTTGGGTATCTTGCAGTGTAAATGCATCATAATAAAATTTACTTCAACAATAATATAGGCAACTAATTTTGAAAAGTATGTACTTTCAGAATTTAATATTAAAGAACTTTATTCAGTAGCTTTAGGTCAATGTTTTGTAAAAATGTATGGGAGCAGAATTCATTGATTAGATGAATTGACTACAAAAAGTGTATCTTATATAACTTTTCAAAAGGTCCTTAATAAGGTTGCACAATGTCAAACGCAAATTAGTCCTGCGTTTCTCACTGTTATTGTAGCCATAGAAGAGTGCTAAAGGAAAAAATAGTCAGGCTTGCAGCAACAGGTTTAACTATACTGAATCAAGTACCGTTTGTACTAGTTCTTGTTTGTTGCACTATATTTGTATTGCTATTAATAAAAGAAAAGATGACATCCTTGGCCACCAGCAGATGAACTTGCCCACAGCAGAGTCAACCAGATCGACAACAAGTATAAACCTGTATTTGACTTGCCCAGACAGAATTAAAAGCAACTGAATAGCTGAACAAGGGATTTGTTTACTGCAGGGAGTCGGTCTTGGATTTGCTAAGGTTACAACAGCTAAATATATGTACCGAAGCTAGTAGACGGTTTGCCATTCTGAAGCCCTCAAAACACGTTATGACTTTCCATCTATATTTGTGCCAATGAATAATTGATTTTATGCTAAATCTGGTTAATTTAATAAGTTGCACAATTATATTTAACAAAGCAAGAGTGGTCTCAAGAGGTATAGTACTGCAACCCTTTGTTTTCCTATACTTTCTCTACTGACTTGTACATTCAGATTGATTTATTGTAACTTTGAAATGAATGTTGGCTTTTGTTAAGTAAAAATAGACAATAGAGTTTCATGTGTGGTTATTTCTAATAGGATTAATGAATCTGAATGCAGTAATCGGGCGTATTTTGTGTCGACCTATTAAAATTCCACTTTGAAAGTGGGTGAAAGTTAAAAATTGTGGCACATTGGATCCCATTGTCTTTCAACATTTGATGTGTTTTTTTTATTATGAGTGAAATTGTTTGGAGAAAGTGACAGCTGTTACTTTACCTTAAAAGTAAAATAAGTGAGCGTGTGAGTGAATGTTTGTGCACGAGTGTGAGCGTGTGTGTGCATGTTTGTGTGAGTGAGAGAGAGATTCAGACCATTCGTGTGATTTCTGTGATGAATAGAAAAAGTGGGAAGTTATAGTGACCAGGCAAAGAAGATCGTGCCATTTCTGGTACAAAATATTTTCACCCATCAATTGAGCGAACATTTAATCTTTACCAAGTAGGCAAATTCATTGCTTTTGTTTTGAGAAGAGTGAGAAGGAACTGATGAAAAAGATATGGATTTCATACTGTTGATTATATAAAAACACAGCCATACTCGACTGTATTTAGCATATTGTGATCCTTAGAAATTTAAGGTATTTTACATTTGCCTTTTTTGGAATGTTCATTATCAGTTTAATTATTTTTCAGAGCTGCAATTCTTTGCACACAAGTATTTTGTGTGTCTCATTTTAAAATTACTGTTGTGCCAATGGGTAAACATATACAATGGTACTTGTCTAATCTGGACTGTGTACCTGTGATGGCTTTGATTCAAAGGTTGAGGACATGTCAATATTGCTAAGTTTGCTGTGGTTTTGCCGAAATGCCTCTTCTGAGGCAGTTCAGAACTACAGAATTCTTCAATCCAGTACTCAAAATTGCAGAACTACCTGAGTTATCGTCAGACACACGGGGAATAGTTCACTGAAAGGTAAAGCGCTAAGCAAAGTCAGGCTTACTGAGCGATGGTGTTAAATCATCTCGTTTCATTTATATTGTGTGGACTGAGATGAAAAGTGAAACCGCTTTAGTTTCTATGGAATATTGTGACTTGGAATTTTCCACTTGTGTGAGTTGTGTGGTGTACACTTGCTTTTAAATTAACCCATTCATCTTCAGCTACATAGCAGTATCTAATAGACGAATGGAGCTTTACAGAAAGAGACATGGATAGAAAGAAGAAACATCTGATAGTACAGATTTAAGTTCAGAGGAGGGAGATGAACGCTGGTACTGAAGTGAGGAAGAGGTGTAGAGATGACTGCAGTCTTCAGGAGAATTTCTGTCTGGTCTTTTAAAGGCAGAGTGTCAATCTTTGAAAGCGATATTCTGTACATGGATTTGCTTGGTGTCATTTTACTGGGCGGTAAAGTGAGTATGGAATATGCCATATTACATTTTAAAGAAGGGAGGTTGGAAAAGTGAGGAAGTACTGTATGTTGCACTAATAATCCAGGGCTGTAATTAGACAAATCACAATACAGGCCTGCAAGGTGCAACAAGATACATGATACCTAAATGCTCATTACATTTTGTTTTTTTAAAAAAAGCTTAATTCAAGCAGATGCAGCAGTTTTGTGCTGCTTTGTGACTGTCCTGCAATGACGATTTCCTTGGCGGCAGGTGGATATGATTCAAAGAATTGAGACTTAATGTTTGTAAGGAAGCTTGTGATTGTGTCCACCAAACTGGGTAAGAGTGTGCTAGAGTATCATTCTCTCCCAATGTATTGGAGTGTTGTTTTAAAAACTGCTGTTTACTGCTCCAAAGCTGACAAAGCCAGCTTATTATGCACATCAACTGGATTTTTAAAGTGAACATGCTTGATTTAAAACATTATTATTATTTTCTTCTTTTGTTAGGTGTGTAATTTTCTGGCAATGACACCATCCTAACTCAAGGCGCTGTCTGTACTTGAATGAAGATAACTTTCCCCAGCTGATTTGACTTCAGACCTCAAACAGCAGCCATTGTGGGGCTGACAGTAGGTAGGTACACCCTAACCCTTCAAAATCCTAACTCTGCTTTTTACAGCTTTGAAACTCGAGCAGAGATAATGGCAGTGATTTAATTTCAGAATTAATTTGGAAGAAAAGAACCGAAAGTACTATGTTCAACAGTTGATTGCATCTATTATTGCTTTACTATTGGAAGAAATTATTTCTATAGCACCTGAGGAGGAAGTTGTAAGACTAAGAACTTGGAATTCAGTGTTTATCTTTGCCATAGTATTAGTTACCTTGTCTCAGTAACTTTTATTTCACCCCGTGTCCCACAAGTACCACTTACTTTCATGAACTCTTTTCTCTCTCCCACCCGCCAAAAATAAAACTGAGAGCGAATGATAGTCAAGAGGTTCAACATGCTTTATCACTATCACATTGCTCCTCTGGCAGTTTAATTAATGCCAGTCGATCAACAAATGAATTGAACATCAGCTTATCAAAATGAAATACTCATCTCACAGACTTGATTTACAATCGTTGCTTTTCACAGTGATAGAATGGTCAGGATTGATGTGCTTTTTTAAAAAATAAAGTGCAAATTTGGAATCTATAATAATAATAATAATCCTTGTGATAAGGGCCTTATCACATCTTCAAAGTGCTTCATGGAATATACTGTAAAGTGAATTGGCTATATAATTTGTGGGTGAAACGCGGCAGCAAATTAGGCATAGCAATGTCCCACAAACAGTTGTGGATTGAGTGTCTAAATTATTAGTAGTAGCTAATTATTTGAAGGGAATATTACCCCCAGAAAAGCAATCCGTCAATCAAGCAGCAACATTTGGGTTCCCACTTACTGCCAGGCAAACAGAAGCATGTGGAAATCTATAGCTCTATAAGTCTTGTGCTCTACTGTGGGGTCCCTCTGGTACTGGGGACATAGATGCTCCTGAATTCTGATTTCAGAGGAAGCCATAAATTGTAGGTGCCGGGTTGTCATTGTACATTGGTTTGAGTGGACAGGGAGCAGGTGACTGGTATTCTGTTAACAACCAGAAGTGAATCTTCTAACCTAAAAGAGAGACCAGGTGAATTAAGGTAAAAGATGAAAACTTGATGTGTTCATTTGTATTTTGTGTGTGTGTATTTCAGTACCATTTTGCTCAGCCCCCAATTCTGATTTTTCTATCAGTCCATGATAAATTATTCAATATAACTAAATCCACTGTATTGATTTGCATTTTATGTATTGATCAATGTAGGTTTGTTTATAGCACTTTTAAGTATTCTGTTTCTTATTAAAGTCACATTTAGTTTTATGTTTGCCAAAAATAATTCTCTACTTGCAGCATTTTGTTTTGATGTATGCAAGTTGCCAAGAGTTAACGATTTTCATGAGGGAGATTAGAGTGTGTGCAGTACAGTAGCTGTATTATTATATTATGTATTGCATGGAGCGTGTTCCTTTGTGCTGTACAATCTCAGCACCTTGTGCCAAGTCTGGGAAATCCTGCATTTGAATCATTTTCCTATAAGATTTGGAATACTTCTTACATGTCTTTCATTTACTGTCTGCAGGTATGCATCATTTTGCATTTAGTTTCACGTTTGGCGGAGTTAATACTTTTAATAATAATAATAATAATCCTTGCATTTGATATAGCGCTTTTCACGTCAGGAGGACGTCCCAAAGCGCTTCACAGAACATACTGCAAAGTGAATTGACTGTATATTTGTGGGCGAACGCGGCAGCCAATTGCGCACAGCAATGTCCCACAAACAGTCGTAGATTGAAAATGACCAATTTATTATTGTTTTTGGTTTTGGAGGGATTATTATTAGGCTCTGTGTGGAGTAAGGAAACTTGCCCAAGGTTTCGCCCTCTGCCTGGACTTGAACTCAGGTCTCTCACTTGCAAAGTGAGTGCTCTAACCACTGAGCTACAGGACTCCACTTTTGATGAAATACTGAGTTGGTTCTGTGTTCATGACTAATAACCGGGGTCACTGAATAGCAGTTTACCCAGCTAGTAAAAATTTAAATTCTTGATGATTTTCTTGCATTTAAATTTTACTTTAAATATAACTTATATTTACTCCTATTCTTTCCACTCCCTCTAAATATTCTTATCTTTTTAATATCAAAGAAACTGATATCGTTATTTTGGGACAAGGTACATAGCTTCCTTGTAGGACATACATTTTTCTCTACCTGTACTTCTCGGGTTTACCAAGTTATGCAGCTTTGTATACAATAAAATCAAGGTTCATATTGGTCTTTTCGTCCCTCGTGGAGAAGTACCATGACATTTTGTACGTCTACTGCGGAACTCGAATGTTTTTCCTGCAGTCCATGACTGACTGCGTAGTGGTACCATCAAACTTAAACCAGAAGTGATTTCTCAGGCAGCTGTAATGGGGGGAGAAAGGACCAAGAATTGTTATGATTGAAAGAGATTAGAGCAGTATCTGTGTGTGAAAGTTGTTGCCGTATTTGAAGTGGATGAGGTATTGATGTTGTGGAGTAACGGGAGGTGTAATTAATGGGAGGTTGAAGTAATGGGGAGTACAGTTGAACTTTTTTTGCCTGGTAATTGGGTCTTGATGGCATGTCTGCATCAGAGGCGTTTAATTTTGAAAGAGATGTGAGATCTAGCAAAAGCTCTAAAACCGCAGAGCTTCTTACAAAAACAGTCCTGTCATTTTTATTTGTAAAAGGATGTGGTAAGCAGCCACGTGATGAACAAGAATTTAGAGCAAATGTGGGTAGGTTAGATTTGTACCTATCAAGTATTTATTAAACCTTCTTGAGAGATTGCAGTGAAATCAAGGCCTTTCGACAATTGTGTATTGGTTGTATGTTACCAGACAGAATGAAAATTAAGGCCTGGCTTTTATTAAGCAGCTTAGGAATTGAACTGTTTCAGATACTAATAATTGCATTGTGAACCATAATTGTAGTGCAACAAAGCAGCAAAAACAATTTTATATTTATACAATGCCTTTCTTATCAGGCGGACATCTAAAGTCACTTCCAACAGCAGAAGATCTAGTCATTGAAAGTTGTGCTGCTTGAAGTTTTCCATGAATGGAAACTCTTGGAAATTATTACTAATACATGAAGCCTGCTAATTACTAAGCATGGCCTACTTTATAGTTCCCTATTGATGACTGTCCAGTTTTTAGTCCCTTGAGGGTTTGTATTGTGGGTTTATGCTTCAATAATGCAATGGTGACTAAGCTTGGTAAATGGATGATGACGATTACTTCATTCTTATTTGGTTTATATTGTGACTAAACTTCTGTGTGTGACCTGGATTCTCTCCTTTCAGTAACTCTTCTATACTGTACCCTCCCCTGAGCACCCCAGTGCTATATTATGGAATAGAATATATATTCTCTGTTATATTATAGAAGCGAATGCAAATATTCCAAAGTCAAAGTTTAAAAGAAATGGAATGCACAAGAAGTAATTTGATGGGAAAGTTACATAATTGACATCCAGGCAAAAAGACTCTTGTTATCTTGCTACCTCCTGCTGGAAGAGGAAGAACCTTAGCCACCTGAGCATCAGAACCACATTGCCCATCTCCTGGATGTATTTGCAGAGTAAGTACATTCACATGGATTTGTTCAGTTTTCTCTTGGCTCAGAGTGGGATTAATGCCCTTCAGAGTTTTAGCCAACCCAAAGATCAGTTGAAACTGTTAGTCTGATTGAAGAATGTTGCTTTTAGCAGGCTAGGCTAGCATATTCTCAGAGGGCCTGCTGAATACTACATGAGTAGGAATGTAAAATAATTATAGTGAGTTATAGAAAATCCACGTTCTGGAGATATTGAATATAATGATGGTATTTTACTGAGTTTGTATGTGGACTACGTATGGAACTCTTCCTCAATTCTCTGCCTTCAGACTCCGCCACTATCAATCTCTCAGTGACCCCCCCCTCCCCCCCAGCGTGAAGAGCACTATATAAATCCAAGGACTAAGCAGAGACCTTGTTGAGCAGGTTCCCACTGTGAGCTTTATAAAGTGTATGACGGCGGCAGCAGAGTGAGCAGCAGTAGATTAAACCATAAACTATGCAGAGTGAACTGTGTGTAAGTTTGTATGCAAGAACGTAGCCTGGTATGAGGAAAAACTCAAAATCCAGAAACTTTAGGTGAGCTGAGAATTTTAAAGATCAGTTTTGTTGCAGTAAGGTGATGACAAAAAAGTTTTTCTAATTAGTTTTTCTGTGTAAATAATTTGAATTCAGTGGGATGAAGGGTGGGTTAAAGTCTTAAGATGAAGCAATCAAGGGCACAGGATAAGTTAGGCTAGCTGTATGCATAGAAATGATCCACATCAAAACCACCTGCTTTTTCTGAAAGCATCCTCTTTCAGCCTCATCTCCCTCAAGCTAAAAGTAATTGAAAGTATGAACGAAAATTAACTGGCATATTAACACTACTGACTTGGAATTGAGACATGTAGACGGTCACATCTTTGAAATAATTTCCAAATATTCTTGCACTGCTTATTTAAAATTCCTTTGAGGTAAATTACATATTTCTATTCTTTCAATCGATCATTCAAATACTTCACCACAGAGACCAAAGTGTTTGTTTTAATTCAAAGAGGTTAATTATTCATAGCTTGTTGTAAATTGCAATGTATTGTATGTAAGATGAGTTTAAGAAGTAAAGATTTAATTTACATTGAACACCTGTCATTCTAAGGACCACTATGATTTACTCTCTGTTATCATGAACACTAATTAATTTTTTACGAGGATTGGGCACCATGGGGTGTTAACGATGAGTAAATCTTGGGAATCAAAATTGCATGATATCTTTTTCATAAGTAATTAATAAACTGGTAATTCTGAGTTATCTAACCAAATCATTGCTACATGAAACTAGATTTATTATATACTTGGGTCAATATCACAGTATTATTGTTTAGTGGGGACTGATCCTCGAGGGAATTTTGTGAATCCCAGTAATGTGAATTGCTTCTCAAATTGTCAAAGGTTGCTGACCACCTTTAAAATCAC